CATCCTCCCACCCCTACAATTTGATTGAGAACACTGGTTTCATATCAGGTTATTGTTTAAAAGAAAAAGAAGCTCATTTCGATGGTTATTCATGTTCTGTTATATTTAACAGGTGATGCTTTCATTCAAGTATGGAGTGAGAAGAGGCAAACTTCAATTAATGATTTATATTTGAATTTATTTCTGTATTTCTGATATAATAAAAGCAATGCAATTGGCCAATCCTAATTATGTCTTGTTGTGTATTATGCTTAATAGCTTTTAAAGAGAATAAATAATTTATTTTCGTTTGAGCAAGCGAATTAGAAAATAAAGTAATAATATAGCTACTCTATTGTTCTCTTTATTGTTCTTTTTAGTCACACAAAAGAAAATAGCCACATAAAAGCATTACGAAATGAATGACGTCAAAGATAAAGAACAGTTACCTATTGTCCCTCTAGCCACATAATTACTCTCCTGTGAGTGCGGACAGACGGATGGACAGACGGACAGAGCCTATTTCTATATCCCCCTTTTTTCTTCCAAAAGGCGAGGGACAATAAAATAATTGTGATTTAAGTTTGCTGACGGGCAAGGGTATCAACAATAGTAACTAGAATTATTGCTGAATGCGATTTATACCCCCACCAATGTCCTTGACATAAGACGACTTGGAAAGGTGGTTAAGGGAATAACTTTAGTGGCACAAATACATATACATAAAAAGAAATTATCTCTGGTGAAAAAAAGACTAATTGTACAGGTAATAGTGTAAATATATATTGTTAAATCATGTTCGAAACAGTTACAAATAACCTTTCATTTTCCCAATGTACTTAACATTTTCTAAGTAAATTTTTGACCTTCAAGTGTGACCTTGACCTTAAGCCTGCACAAGGGTAAGATGGGTTCTGCACATTGCCCAGTTGGGGTGAACATTTAAGTAAAGTTTGAAGAAAATCCTTCCATTAGTATAGAATTTATAGAGTGGACACGACATATTGTCTAGTATTGATTGTATGTAAATTTAAAGACTTAAAAAGGGGCATAACTTTGTCAAAATGCAATACAGATTTATGGAACTAGACCTGCATATTTTATTTGTGATACCTCATATATCTTATAAGTTTCAAGCAAATACCTGTGCTAGTTTCAGAAATATGTTAAAATTTAGGAACATTTTCTAAGTCAATTTTTGACCTTCAAGTGTGACCTTGACCTTTAGCCGGCACATGGATTCTGCACATAACCTTGTTGAGATGAACATTTGAGTAAAGTTTGAAGAAAATTATTCCATTAGCATAGGATTTATAGAGCGGACACAACATATTGTCTAATATTTGATTGTATGTAAATTTGAAGACTTAAAAAGGGATATAACTTTGTTAAAATGCAATAAAGAGTTATGAAACTTGGCCAGCATATCTTAATTGTGACACTTCATATATATTTTAAGTTTCAAGCAAATACCTTTTCTAGTTTCAGAAAAATTCAAATACATGTTAAAATTTAAGAATATTTTTTAAGTCAATTTTTGACCTTTAAGTGTGACCTTGACCTTTAGCCGGCAAAGGGGTGACATGGTTTCTGCACATTCCCTTGTTGAGGTGAACATTTGAGCCAAGTTTGAAGAAAATCTTTCAATCAGTGTAGGACTAACAGAGCGGACACGACATAAGGTCTAATATTTGACTGTTTGATCTTCAATTGTGACCTTGACCTTGAGCTGACACACGGGCAACATGGGTTCTGCACATCCCCTTGTTGAGGTGAACATTTGAGCCAAGTTTGAAGAAAATCTTTCAATTAGTGTAGGACTTACAGAGCGGACACGACATATTGTCTAATATTTGATTGTTTGACATTTGACCTCAATTGTGACCTTGATCTTGAGCTGACACATGGGCAACATGGGTTCTGTACATCCCCTTGTTGAGGTGAACATTTAAGCCAAGTTTGAAGAAAATTCTTCAATTGGTATAAGATTTATAGAGCGGACACAAAATGGAGACGGACCGCCGGACGCGACAAAGCGAATCCATTATGCCCCCCCCCCCCCCCCCCCCAGCAATAGCTCAATTTTTTTCTGTGAAAAATAATACTAAAAATATTTTACAACAAAAATTAAAGTAATTAATTACCATAGCAATTATAGCATAAGTTCTTACCAATGATCAATTTTCTAGTTTTAGCTTTTTCATTTCTAGTTTTGATATTTTCCTGGAAAGGTATTTTCTTCAAAGGGATATTGACATCTTGCGCTGTGACATCATACATAAAATCCATAATGTGATGGGCAGCTGACTGTATTGTCCCTATAGTGTCACTTATATCACTATATGAACCCTCATTTTCATCATTCACCATTCGTACTTGGAAAATGTAGTGTGTATCTGACTTCAGGTTAGTTAATGTTATCGTGCTACTAGGAGCTAGGTCTGGATAGAATCTCCATTTGGAAGACCCATCAGCTTCTTTATACCTTAATTGGAAGTTAGGGTTTTCAAACAATTGTGTTGGCGGTTCCCAAACAAGGCAAACTGTGTCTACAGATACTTGACCAACCACACATGGCTTTCCAGGTTTTGTCTATTGGGAAGATAAAATTCAAAAGAATGTATTAGGACAACTGCAACATAAATATAGACAATAACTTCAACCACTGTCACTTCAAAAGCCAATGTCGTCAACCACTTCAGAGGCATTTGAAACATAGGTTAATTAGAATTGTATTTAAGATAATTTCTATATACACCACATGTATATTCTTTTAGGCATACCAACAGGCTGGTGAAAATGTCTGATCGGGCTTATCACATAAAAATCATATTTCTAGAAAATAATTAATATGTTTTCTTCTAACTTGTTTTGTTCATTAAATCTTCATACTGTATTCCCAAAAATGTTCGCGGATACAATATTTCATTTTTTCCACAACGTTGACATCACGGAGACAAACTTTCGCGGATTTGTAGTAACCGAGAATTCCGCGAATATTAAGTCGCTACGGCCTAAATTACAGTTTATGGAGGCTATGTTTTTTTATGCATAACCTTGCCTGTTGGGTACTTTTAATTATCTTATTTTTTGACAAGATGTGCCTAAAGCGCTACATTACTCGATACAGGTCTTTTCATCTATTGACTAGTCGAACACAGACCGTTGTTTAGTGGACACATTTTTAACTTATTTCCTCACCTTCTTCACTATGTGATTAAGTAAGATTTTGTCAGACCTGTTAGCTTTTATTCTCATTCGAATCATAACTGACTTTATCTTAACGTAATTTGGTTTCATTATAACAACAAAACAGCTGTTTATCAATGTAGCACTTGATGTAACAAAGGATTACACCTACTCCAAGCAAATAAAATCCAAGTCATTTAATGCACGCTAACTGTAAATGCTTTTCTATATGCCGTGGCTCGCGAATAATGTCAATAAGCATGATAATTACTATTACAATGTAATTGACCTTTTTCAGGGTTCAAATAGGTATCTATAACATACATACATAAATCTTTACACATTTCTATAGCATCTGTGTTTATATGTTTTTTGTGTAAGTAGATTACAATAAATATTCTGCATGTTTATGTTTTTATTTGGGTGAAGCTAGAAATGCTCGCAGATTTGTCATATTAGTGACATATTCGCAGCTAAAAAGAATCGCGGAATCATGCCTACCGCGAAAAGCGCTAACTTAAAACGTGTGAAATCTTTTCTAGGAATACAGTGTAGGACACAAATCAAATTAAAAGTTTTGGTTGCCTTTAATATTTTCTTATAATTATTTCCCTTTATCCCATTTTAAATAAACAAAATATTTGAAGTACATAAATTATGTTGTAATGTAATTTTCTTTACAAAAATGTGCCCAACAACTTCATTTTGCTCAAGGTTATTGCACCAGTACCTTTATTCTAAATATTTGGATGTTATATTCTGTTTCTGGCATATATATTTTGACAATTCTTTGACACTGAACATTATACTTTGATTAGTTTTCTCTGAAAACTGAATGAAATGTATGCTAACACTGGTGTTGGCGCAATGAATTAGAACATAAAGAAGTTAATATTATTCTAATCTATTTTGTTTTATGCTTTGCATATGTAACATATTTTTGAAGTCCTGAAAAAATATGTTACATTTGCAAAGTATAAAACAAAATAGATTGGATAACTTCTTTATGTTCTAATTCATTGCGCCAACACCTGTCAGCATACATTTCATTCAGTTTTCAGAGAAAACTTCAATATGTAATGTTCAGTGTCAAGAATTGTCAAAATAGTGATTTTTTTTCCAATTTTCAAAACAACCTGTGGCTTTCTGAAGGGGAAAATATAGCTCACTAAATCAGAAAGGGGGGAATTCAAACAGCTGAAAATGGAATTTACCCGCACATTTTATGAAAAACATTAATTTCAATTTAATTTAACATGCATAATACATAGCAGAGGCTATCTAAATTTTAGAATTGCGTGTTACTAAAGATTTCTGTCTTCTAGCTGATATAAGCCAGATGCTGTTAAGTCATAGTTTTGGTGAGGAAGAGCATGAGGCATTTTAGGGGAAAATATACCTCTTTTGGGCTAGGGGAAACAGCCTTTATTCGGCTGTAAAATACAGTGAAAAAAGTCACTGTTTATGTGTAAACATGAACAAGGGGGCCATTGGCCCCAATGCGCTCACCTGAGTACTAAATGCAATTGATATACAAAAGGGAAGTTACCAGGTCTGAAAGATATACAAAACAGGGTTAATTTTTTTGTGTAGGTTGGAAGTTGATGTTTTAAGACAATACACCAAGAACTTTAAAGTAATGATCAAGGTTAAAGTTTGTGTATGCATAGGAACAGTTTTAACTAAATACATATAAGGAAAACCTATGACCCCGGGGCGGGGCCAATTTTGACCCTAGGGCTATAATTTTAACAATCTTGGTAGAGTTCCAGGCTGCACAATGCTTCATGCCAAATATCTAACCTCTAACCTTTGTCTATTCAGAGGTTTTTTAAGTTTCTACTACATACATATAAGGAAAATCAATGACCCCCGGGCGGGGCCAATTTTGACCCCAGGGCTATAATTTAAACAATTTTGGTAGAGGACCTATAGGTGATATAACATACAATTTATCTAAGCTCTAAGCCTTGTACCTTCACACAAGAAGATTTTTTTAAGTTTTTACTATATACAAATAAGGAAAACCTATGACCCCCCGGGACGGGGCCAATTTTGACTCAAGGGCTATAATTTGAACAACTGTGGTAGAGGACCTATAGGTGATAGCATATACCAAATATCAAAACTCTTAGCCTTGTGCCTTCAAACAAGAAGAATTTTTAAGTTTTTACTATATACATATAAGGAAAACCTATGACCCCCCCCCCGGGGCGTGGCAAATTTTGATCCCAGGGATATCATTTGAACTACTATTGTAGAAGACCTATAGGTGATATCATATACCAAATATCAAAGCTTTAAGCTTTGTACTTTCAGACAAGAAGATATTTTAAGATTGCATTTTTTAAACTCCTTTTCTAGCCCCATGACCTACTTATGCAACAGACCGGAACCATTTGAGCAACTTTGGTAGGGGAACACCCAAGGATCATTCCTGTAAAGTTTGGTTACTGTGCAGTCATTGGTTTTTGAGATGTTGTTTAAAGAAATTGTTGACGACACACGACGCACGGACACACAACGACAAACAATGGAGGATCACAAAAGCTCACCATGAGCATGTTGTGACAGTAACCAAATATGTTTTTTTTTGTTTTTGTTATTTATTATGCTCAATTAACAAACAAAGTTTAAAAGAAATACTCTTGTCTTCATTATTTTTGTAGAAATATGATTTTTTTTGGTCGTAAGCCCAATAGCCTAATAACACATTTACACACCAATTTGGCATATATCTTATATATTAAAGTCTAACATATTATACTGATATTTGAGCCAATCATAATTCAAATTGACTGATTTTCTTCTACAAAAAAAAAAACCATTTACAAAAAAATCATGAACAGTTCTTATTTAGTGTACATGGAACTATGAACCATTCCTTAAACAAGAACCACTTTAAATAGGGGCCACACTTGACTTTCTCTTTATATTAAATGCACAAGAGCTATCAGAATAGACAGCACGCTTAACTAATTAAATACAGGACATAGTAAAGGAAGACAATACTTAGATGAAAAACAAGGGCAACATTGTTGCTAAATAGGCCCATCAAGCTAATATGACAGAGATGTTGGCATTATAGATATGCATATAGGAGATATATGCTCTGGTCTCTAGTGACCTTGACCTTGCAAATATTAACATGTGTCACACTTGTAGTCATGATAGTTATCATTTGTATAACAATCCATCAATAAATGATGATTAAATGGTCCACAACTTTTGACCTCTCTATGTGACCTTGACTTTGGTAGCAGGGACCTGGATTATGTGCACAATAAGCCTCAATCAATGGTGAACATTTGTGCTAAGTTACATTAAAATCCCCCACTGAATGTAGAGGTTCGGCTCCTAACAAGCATTTTTCAATGACCATCAAAATGTGTGAATTTAACCTTTAACCATAGAGAATTGGTTTATGCATGTGACACTGATTCTCAGTAGTGGTGAACATTTCTTATGAAGTTTCAATTAGAATCCCACCATGCATGTAGGAGATTACTCTGGACAAAAATTCTATAATTTTATCATCTTTAGTGACCTTGACCTTGCATATATATTAAACCTAAATCACATGTTTCATGCGCAGTAGTCATGAATAATGATCATTTGTGTTTCAATCCCTCAATAAATTCCTAAATGGTCCGAATACACATATTCATATTTTTATTTCAACTTCGATTCCTATATGTGACCTTGATCTTGGCCGCAGGGACTTAATTTTGAATGCGACATTCATGATTCTGCCTCACAATGGTGAACATTTGTGCCAAGTTATATTAAAATCCCTCTAGGCATGTAGAAGTTTTGCTCCGTACAAGAGTTTTTCATTTACCTCTAAGTGTGACCTTGACCTTTCACCTAGAGATTCATGTGCACAACACCACTTCTCATAATGGTAAACATTTCTATGAAGTTTCATTAAAATTCCTCCATGTGTGTAGGAGATATGCTCTGAACAACAATTGGACGCCACCCGCCCAACCGCCCGCCTGCCAGAGGGGAAACTATATAACAACCTGTTCTTCAAACAAGCGTATAAAAATCAATCATGATATATATAAACTAGACCTATCACTGAAGTTTATTAATACTCCCACTAGCTATTTTGACTTTTTGAAAAATAAGTTGTCTGAAGAAAAATTTGAACACAACCTATAGTAAATGAAGTATCAACAATTGTACACAAAATAATTTCAATTAATTGCAATCCCAAATGGGGTGACCTTGACCCCAAGGGGTCCAAATGCAATACCAACTGGGGTCTTCATATTAAGCTTGCTATACACCAAGTTTGATTACAATATCTTATTCCTAACTCCATTTATTGTCCATAAACCATTTTTCTATTTTTAGTAACAGTGACCTTGACACCACAGGGTCCAAACGCAATACCA